TGTTGCTTATTGATTATTTTCCCTTGCCGGGACGTTGAGATTATTGAAGTTGTACCCTTGTCGGGATTTAATTGTTTTATTGTGTTCCCTTGCCGGGATTTATATTATTATTTTGTTTATTCCCTTGCCCCTTGTTTGTGATTGTTGTTTGGGTGAGGAAGAGTGTTAAAGCACGAAGGGTGATGTCGTGCATTGTTTGTTTATTGTGAGGAAAGAGTGTAAAGCACGAAGGGTGATGTCGTGCATTGCTTGCTATTGTGAGGAAAGAGTGTAAAGCACGAAGGGTGATGCCGTGCCGCACGATGTACCATTCCGTGCCAATTCTATTGATTATATGTGAGGAAAGAGAGTAAAAGCACGAAGGGTGATGCCGTGCACATTTTATTATTCTAATTGCTTGGTGAGGACGAGAGTAAAAGCACGAAGGGTGATGCCGTGCACTTGTCTTTGATTTTCCTGATTTTTGCTGATAATTGAGTTATGTTGTCCTTTACTTCTATTTATTGATTTTCTTGTTGTTATCGGTTCAAGTGTATTAATTGTCTTATTCCACTATTATTGAGATTTTTTATGTTGGCATTTTCCTTTATTGTTTTACTTGTTATTATTGGCTCGAGGTATCCTTGCGCAACATTATGCTTTGAAATTATGCTATAATTGCTACATATTTATGTGATTTAATTGCTACTTGAAATTTAGCATACTAAATGTTAAATTGCCTATTTGCTCCTTAAAGTCCATAATTAATTGCCACTTGTCATTATTTGTTTTCTTCCGTGAGTCATAATTATTGTGTACTTGTTGTCTTATGAATTCGTATTAATTATTGCGTTTGTGGGAGTAAATTTCATTTGGAAGAACTGTAGATTTAACGAAATGGGAGCGAGTGGTACCCCACCACGAGATTAATGAAATGGGAGCGGGTGGTACGCCTACCACGAGATTTAATTATTGAGAAATGGGATCGGTTTGCACGCCTGCAACTAGATATGTACTGACGGTGAAATCTGCTTTTATTTCCCTTATCCGTGTTAGAGTTAAATTAGTGATGTTCTTTATTATTTTCGAGGCGGTGTTAATGGGAGACTGGAGGTATGGAGGCAGACCCTGGAGTCTAAAGGTTTCAAGTTGAGTAGGACTAAGACGGAATATGTGGAATGTAAGTTCAGCGACGTGATGGGGGAAGCGGATGTGGAAGTGAGGCTTGACTCACAGGTCATCCTCAAGAGAGAAAGTTTTAAGTACTTAGGGTCAATTATCCAGGGAGATGGGGAGATCGACGNAGTCCCATATTTTCTAAGGACCTTCCGGGACCGTCCAATCTCGGGTCCGGGTCCGTTTACCAAAAATGTTGACCAAAGTCAACTATAATCATATTAATATCAAAATTCTTCAAATTTTTCACAGAATTCACATATTTCAACATAAAAGCTTTCCGGCTACGCGCCCGGACTGCGCACGCAAATCGTGGCGATAGAAAATGAGGTTTTCAAGGCCTCAGAAGCACGGAACAAATGAGGAAACAGGTGATGACCCTTTGGGTCGTCACAAATGATGTACAAAACACTCATTGACTTTTATACGCTTTGAACTAGACAAATAGAATTGGTTTTCTATTGGGGTTGTAATAAGAGTTAACTTAGTTTGGTTAGCTTAATGTGGTAGTTCTATTGAACTTCAAACTTTGTTGGTTTTAATGTTGTTTTTGTGTTGTTGTTGTTGTTGTTGTGTTGTTGTTGGTATTGTTGTTGTTGTTGCTTGTAATAGGGATTTGGTATGACTGGCAGGTGGTGTAGCTGCCAAAAGTGGCAGTTTCTGCCAAAATAATACCCAGAAAAGCGACCAACTTTGGTCTCTTTTTGGTCGCTTTTCTATTAAAAAAAATAATTTTCTGGCAATAGCGACCAAAGTTGGTCGCTATTTACCCAGAATTCTCAAAAAGCGACCAACCTTGGTCGCTATTCCATTAAAAAAAATAATTTCTGGAAATATAGCGACCAACTATGGTCGCTTATATTTAAAAAAAAAAAATAAATTCTTGATATTAGCGACCAAAGTTGGTCGCTAAGTTTTAAAAAAAATTAAAAAAATTAATAAAAAAGCGACCAACCTTGGTCTCTATTTTCTAGATTTTAAAATATAATATTTGGATTAGAGACCAAAGTTGGTCGCTTTTTTATGATTAATAATAAATAAATAAAAAAGTATTTTACATTTAGAGACCAACGTTGGTCGCCAAAATTATATTATTAAAATAATATAGCGACAAAGTTGGTCGCTATAGTCTTTACCCGGAATATTTGGTTCTTTTACCTTAGAGACCAAAGTTTTTTGGTCCCTAAAATAAAGGGACCAGCAATATTGCGACCAGGCATGTTTGGTCGCTTTTAGGCCTATAAGCGACCAACTTTGGTCGCTTTTTGTGGTCGCTTTTTACCGGATTTCTAGTAGTGTCTCTTCTAGCTCAATTATATTAGTGATTTGTTTATCTACCATAAATTCTTCCTACTTTGGGAGATTGTATTAAAGTTTCAATTCTTCTCTCTTTTCTTGGCATTTTTAATATGAGGATTCATATTTTCTTATTGACATATTAAAATTCTAATAAATTAAAAAAGATAATACATATACTTACAAGCAAAAGATATCAAAAAAATAGTAAATATAGATGCAAAGTAATAAGAAAAGTATAGAACAATTGAATCTGGTTTAACAAATAGTCATAGATAACTTGATATTACTTTTGCTGTTTCAATATTTTTGGTGTAATGCCGGGAAATCTTGTCAAAAAAAGAGTTCGCAATTGTTTTCTGCAATAATATTTGACAGAATATTTTATGAGACGGTGGACTTAAAAGTCTGGAAAGGCTAAAAGGAATATAAAAGATTAAGTAAAAACCAGTTTAAAGAGAAAGTAATAAAAGTAATGCGGGCCCTGTGATAATAATGATAATATATAAAAGAGGCAAGAAATATATTCACACGTAAGTTACTATTCTTTTTCCCAAATTATCTCTATCGGTCCCATAGTTTCCTTATTTATAAAAGATATACTTTTTTTGATATACTAAATTTTTTTTTAAAAATTCATTAAATCAGATACATCTATTTAATACAGTATCAGAAAAATTTGAGTCCCCCTAGATGTGGGGCATCAAGCAGTTGCTTGAGTGACTTTACCATTGAGCCGCCCCGGGGAATAACCTAAAAAGAGAACGTCATATAAAATGGGTTGGAGGAAGTAAATTATTTGGCTTGCCTTAATTTCCCCTTTCATTCTTTTTCCTCTTTTATATAGGTCTCAAGTATTTTTGGGGTTATCGGGTCAATTGAGTTTGTGGTTCTGTACAAATTTATTAGTTTTATGACCCTACTGTTCTTTTTACACGTGTGAGATTATTTGTACACGTAGGAGATATATCTTTTACACATAAAAGATCTGAAAAGGTCACCTTCTTAATTTTAAAATTATAAAGGAGCAAGATATATAAATAGCACGGTATTTGTCGGGGGTAGGATGACTTCTCAGATGACCAAACGCTAGGCTATTTTGGGGTCGGACCTTTCTATTTAGATCTTATTTCATTTTACTATGCAGAAATTGAGACAATTCCCTTGCACAATAAGTTCTTTTGAACACTATTTTTTTTAATCACAATAATGTGGACTTGGAATGTTTCTAATTAATTCCTCTCGACGGTTCTCTTGTCAGATGCAGTGATCATAAAAAAAATGTCACTATGAATACACAGTCAAACAAATATCTAAATAAAATATAGTCCTATGTTTATGGATGATTGTTGAACTCTCTAGAAGTTTTTAAAACTCAGAATTGTATTGCCCGGTCCTAGGATTTTGTTTTGTCCTCGCTTGTAAACGCACACAATCATATGTTAAATGTCTGGGTATATTATAAAGAGCTTAACTTCTATATACTGATATAAGTTATTTAAATAATATAACTATGCGTAAATGATCATATAAAATAAAATTAGTAGCCTAAAAAATAAAGTAACTACTTGCTAAAACATGTTAAACCACTAATGATGTAGACATATTTTTTATTGTTAGTGTATACAAATTAAATTCATATTTTAAAAACATATAATAAAAGGACAATGCCAAGCTTGATATAGGTAATAAGGTCATTAATAAATTGCAAGGAAATTAATTTTATTTTGTGGAGATAATAAAGGCTGCAGCCGCTCCATGACATGAAATGTTTGGCATGCTTTAGTTCTAAGTTAGGACCACTTAACGTAACCACAGCATTTAGGATATTTTTGTTTTTTTTATTATATTATTAGTTGACAATTTTTAAGCATATCATTTTCTCATCACAGACTGCATTGATGTTGTGACGTCCCAACTGCGAAATTAAGATGATTTCATGGGCCGGCGACTGGGTCCCCACTCTATGGATTAACAAAATAATTGAGGATTAAAAGCGTGCTAACGACACATTATAAAATGGATTGACTTTTCATTCTTTTTTACTATTTTATCTTTTAATTTTTTGGCTAATCCAATAAATATGCTGCTTTGCAATAGATGCTTGAGTGATGTTTATCAACGGAGTTGGATTTAAGATTTAGAGAAGTAGATAGGCAGAGGCGTAGATATATATGGTGTTTTGAGATTTAACGTTTTAAGCTCCATTCTTAAATAGATTAATATGTTAAAAAAGTTTATAGCTATGTTATACTCCCTCCGATCCGGTACACAATATCACATATACTAATGATATTAGACGTGGTGGGCGAAACCTGGTTAGCATATTTGAATGTAATTCCATCACCATCATTATTTATATTTATAGTATAGAGGAAGAAGAAAGCAAACAAAACACCAAAAGTGATGCTTTGTTAATTAAAGCCAAAATGCCATGCATGAAGCTAGATTTTTATGGCGTTTCTTGAATATGTTGAGGCAGCATTATTTTAACACCCTTTTGCAGGACATCATGTTCTGCTTGTTACAAAAAAAAAAAGACTTTTCAATAATACAGAAGAGGAAATGCTGAACTAATACTTTCAATAAATAACAACATATATACTAGCATATAGATCAAACATATACATACAGACACTTGTGTAGCTATTTTCTCCATCCTCGCAAATCAAAAATTAAGCTTGTGACCGTCAAGAGTAGATCATAAAACTGTCTCTCTTGACATTGGTACTAAGGCAAACCTACTACACTAAATCAAACACTGCCAATGCAAAAATATATAAGGACATGACCAACTAAATACTGATATATTTGTCTCACGAAGAAATAAACAAGAAAAGTTGTCATTGCAAGAATGGCCTTAAATATGCAGCCATTTTGCGGACATGACAACTAAGGGCAAGGGATAGTCAAGTAAAGAGTTAAAATCTTCCTAATTGCAGGCTAAAAACTGCAACCATAGGAAAAGAGATGAACAAAGATGCAACATAAACTCACTGGTTTAGCCAGAAATCCGAGGAAATCATTTAAAAACAGATCTCCAATGGCCAACGCGTGAAAAACACCTATATATGTATGACAAGTGTGGAACATTTTCAAAAGAAAGGTCTCATAGGACAAGAAGGCGAAGATGGATCAGTATTATCATGAATATGCTGATTGTGAGGATCAGAATTATGAGTATGAACATTCCCAAAGTGAAAATTAGGAGGAAAAATGAAGTTATTATTTGTGTCTAAATCATCCCAAACTGGACTTCCTGGACCCCAACCTGCTGGTATTGCATTAAACCAAGCCTCAGCCATTTCATTTTCACCCCATACCAATTCAGTTGATTGTAATGATACACCTTGAACTTCATCACAAGCAGTCACCTCGCTCGATCCTATTCCCGAGTCCTCGTCTTGATTGTCAACTTCAGGTGGTGGCGGGGGCGGAGGTAGTAACTCTATATTTAAAGGTTCCAACTGAAGGCTTTCTGATTCTTGATCAGGCTGCTTTGATTCAACACTTTCTATCGACGGTCCCTCTCTGTCTTTACCAAGAAATAGTTCAGGGAAATTGAGCTTAGCATTCTCTCCTCTAAGCTTAAACGCCTCGCGATCATAAGCCATAGCTGCATCTTCAGCTGTATCAAAAGTACCAAGCCAAAGACGAGTCCGATTTCGAGGAAGACGAATTTCAGCAACCCATTTACCCCAATGTCTCTGTCTCACTCCTCTGTAAAGCTTCGTCGTATTAATAGGTTGCAATTGCGGCCTAAACAAACCCTTACTATCTTGCCCTAATCTGCTCATCATCATCATTCTTCCCCTCGGACTTAAATTTAGCGTTTCATTCCAGTACTGCAACAGTTGCTGCTGATTCTGTGATTGTCCTGCAAAATAGGGAGGGTAAGGGCATTGTTGAGGTGAAAATGAGATCATTTGCTGCTGATTTTGATACTGGGGGGGAAACAGAGGAGTTGTGTTTGGTCTGATTTGATATAAATTTTCTGTTGACTGTTGTGTTGCGTCAAAAGAAAAAGGAAAAACAAGCTTTGAGGAGGGAGGAGGAGGAAATGACATAGATATGGGATTATTATAAGGAAGAGAGGATTGTGAAAGCTGTTGGTGAGAGTAAGAAGAAGATTGAGAATAGCTGTATTGGCGTTCGGGACTTCTGATTTTCTTGAAACGTCTTTGGGAAATGGAAGCTTCTGGCCTCCTTTGTTGCCTTTCAAAGGTATTATCATCAAAATCCCTGCCTTTATTATCACAATCCATTTCTTCTCTAATACTAGCTCTTCTTGATTTGCCGTAATCCTCTTCAATTGCACGATTTTGCCACTCGCTCTCTTGAGTTCAAAGTGAATGAAGAATTAATTAGAGATGGTTTGAAAAACTCAATACTAAGATCTTAATTTGGTTGAAAAAGCAAAAAAGTGGTCTGATATGGTCTGAAACTAAGAGAAAACAGAGGAAAGAAAGAGCTGAATTGGTGAACAAACCATCGCAAAATGTAGGCAAGAGAAAGAGAGAGAGCGCGAGCGAGCGGCGTCGAGTAAAGAGAGAAGAAAAATCCAAATTGTGAAAATGAAGGTGCGTAAAAGAAGGGGAAGTTGATTTGTGAGAGAAAGGGAAATGAGAATAAATATAAGAGAGTGGGGGGCGAATGAAAACGAGTGTAGAAACATCCAAATCCAAACTCCTAAGTTTGGTCTGTGGGCTTATTTGGATTGGACCCACGCGGCTTCTTCTTTTCTCTATTTCCGTTGCTTCCACTCCAACCTTCTTCAACTGTCTTCCTTCCACTATATCCCCTTTCTTTTTTCTTTTCTTTTTTTTGTAAAACTATAGTCCCTCCTTAAATATTTGGTTTGTCCCCTTTCTTGTAGGAAATTGTTTGGACTTCTATAAATTGAGGATTCTTCTTCTTTTTCAGTAACATCCACAATGTTAGGGAGTCTTGTTTAGGGGAAGAACTTTTCGGGACAAGTGTTAGAGTGTCACTTGTGTTTGCATCTTCATGAGATTGTTCTCTCGATATTTTGTACTCTCTTTGTATAATAGATTGCTCGTATCTGCCTGGGATTTAGGTTAATAGACCGAACCACGTTAAATGTTTGTGTCTCTTTTGGTATATTTCTCTTCTGTTGTTTGATTTATCGTCGTTCAAGTGTTGTTTTACTTTCTTCCGCATGAAACTTGATTTTTTTGTCCTAACATATGTAATTATTTTTGTCGATCAACCAAATGTGTAGCTTGCTCTTCTTTTTTCTCATTCAATCTCGGTATCTAAATAAGAGACCCCATTAATCTAGAACCACTCTTTACCAGAATGTTTTTCATTCCCGGGCTTGAACTTGAAACCTTAGCGAAGATATTTATTCTCTTTCATTCCTTTACAACACTAGGATCAAATAATTTAATTTATAATTTTATTTAACAGTATAATTTTTAATTCTATAATAATTACTATTTAAACATTTAGAGCATATATGAAATGGAAAGAAGGAACTACACATGAAATTTATGAGTCACAATTTTTACGGGCAAAAAATATTTGAATATATAACAAGCATCGAAGGGTTTGACTCCTTAAATTGGTGTCATATAATATACAATAGTAGGGTATATTTTTCTATGTCCGTCCTAAATAGAGAATAAATTCTCTACAGTTTAGCGCATAAAAAATTGAAAACTTAAATTGGTTCAAATTAATTTTTGTAAATTGATTTTTCTAAGCTAGGTCGTTTAATTAGTTCCACATGAGAAACTGTGAAAGAAAAGGGGCGGGGTAGTTAGAAGTGCTCCAATATGAATCAACCAATGAGAGAGCACCATATATGTAGTACGGGCGCGGGTGTCACTATGGAAAATTTTCTGCAAATAGCTTAGCCATACAATGAGGTGTCGACTTATAATTGGTTGTTGGAACTGAACAAAATATCCCAAGTTCCAAAATGTGATCCAAATCCAAATTTCTTATTCCATAATGTTTGACTGGTATTTTACGCTCAATAACCACAAGCTAACTGATTAAAATCACCACCTTCGTCCTATTTAGAGAAAGCACATGGTTTTCCAATAGATCCTATATGACTTTTTCTTTTCTCTCTATTTATTTTAATGGAGTGCCTTCTAATTTTGTATTAATGATATGAATTGAATTTGAAAAAAAAAGTGAGGATTTATGGGACTGAAACACTATTGTTGTTGTTGTTACTTTCTAATTTTGTCAAGGAAAAACTACGAAGTCGTAGGAGTAACACTTACATTTAATTAATTTGTGGCATTTGTTGTTTCTGCACATTCACTTCTATTAACTGTGTCTTTATGTTGAAAGAAGGTGTAGTCAAATTCTAAGTTGCTCGGATACGGGTACGAATGTTCGTCACGGGTGCATTCTTTTTTTCTTAACTTGAGAAGAGGGAAGAGGGCTTTCGGATCTAAAGGTCGGATTTTTCGAGATGTAAATTCTAAAATTTGGGGATATGGATCCTAGTACATACGGATACGGGTGCCGAAATCCGGCTAAATATAATTCAAAAAAATAAAATATAAAAATATCTCTAAATTTGTAGAATACTTACGTATAGCTTGTAAAGAGTGAGTTTTTTTTATTCTCAATTTGTAGATAAGTAAGGATTGATTTCCTAGATAAAGTATGCTATTTTCTTCAAATTTACCCTAGTTTTGGTTCTGATTTCGGGAATCAAATTGTATCTCGTGTCAAATTTTTTCCTCTGTCATGATGGTCAAAGTACCCAAAATTATTTGGCCAGATCCAGTGCGGATCCCATAACCATACCTGTACCCATACTAGTGTCGTGTCACACGTGTGCGGCACCTAAACTGCCATGTCGGAGCAATTTAGGTCAAATTCATTAATCTTATGGCAATTGCCAAACTGGACTGCAAGTTTAATTTGTGTGTATTGAATCTTAATATATAGCTCATTAAACCAATAAGGAAATAAACAGCAGAAGTAGGCAATTAACAATGGCAGAATCTTATCTCCTTGCCGACTACACAGAGTCGTTATTCTTTTAAACAATATAAAGGCCCTACATTCCAAATTTCTAATCGGCTCTCACTTGGCTAATTAGATTGAAGATTCCCCCTTTATAAGCATTATATTTGTTCCTTTTGTTTGTCAATGGAAAAGAATCTGCTTCTTAATTTTCATTTTATTTTGGTCTCTAATTTTGTTCTGATGTTGTTGTCTGTTGCTATTTATAATGCGTTCCATATGGCAGATAACATTAGTTGAAATTATAAGAAACATGCTAGGCTGCGGAGTGAATTTCACTACTTGCATTACATGCACGTGTTAATAATCAATTAATAATAAAAGACATGTAGGGCAACTTTGAATGCAAGCAATATGAATAAGAAACAAACAACATGGAGAAACCCCCAAAACAATACTAAGAAACACATAGATACATCATATACGGTAGGTCGGATTGGAATTGGGAGAGTTAGATTCCTTTTTGTGGAGACTGAAGAGGTACGAGGTTTGCCTCTGTTGAGATTATTTAATAGATAGCCATATTGTAATTACTTTATATTTACATAGGTTATTCTTTGTATATGCCAATTTTGTAATTAGTTAGGCTATCATTGTAATAAGTAGTTAGTGGAGTTAGTTGTATATGTATAGAAGACATTCTACATATATTTTGATGTAAGAAGAATTCACTTTCTCTTCTCCATCTGCTTCTCGAAGCTTCTTAGTGAGAATGTCTTTCTTCTTCATCCATTAGAGCTCAATCTGAGCTTATCATCATAGTTGACCTTCAGTATTTTGCCATGGTATCAGAGCATAGGCTCCGATTCGTTCCTTAATCACTCGATTCAGTCGATTTCTGTCAAAGCTTTACTCAATTTTCTCTCATTTTCTCCTCTTCGAGAATTTTTGATTCGCTACAATTAGGGGCAAAATTGCAGAAGGTAAATTGCTGTTAATTTCTGATTGCTATCTGATAGTAAGACGATTTCTACATTTCTGAATCATGTCAACGGACAAGGAAACCCTAGATTCATCTAGCCCGCTGTACATGCATCCGTTAGAGAACGCCGGCGGCTTTCGACGGCACTGGTTATAGATCCTGGAGAAGAGGAGTGCTTAGGGCATTATCTGTAAAGAACAAGGTCGGTTTTATCACTGGAAAGGTTAAGAAGCTGGATCCAACTCATGCCACCTTTGATCAATGGGAATGATGTGACGATATGGTTACCTCCTGGATTCTCAACTCACTTTCAAAAGATTTAGCTGACAGTTTGCAGTATGTCAAAGATGCGAAGGAGTTATGGCAGGAATTGGAAGATAGATATGACCAAACTAACGGTGCCAAATTATATCAGCTTCAAAAGGAAATCAGTGATCTAAGTCAAGGAACTCTTGACATCACCGAGTACTATACCAAAATAAAAAAGCTTTGGGAAGAACTTAACACCTTGAATGCACACACTTAGTACAATTGCACCTGCACTTGTGGAGCTAAGGCAAACATGCACAAGGTGGAACAAGATAGAAGGTTAATTCAGTTCTTAATAGGATTAAATGAGGTGTACACTGTGGTGAGAGGCAGTATCTTGATGATGAATCAACTACCTAGTATTGCACAAGCATTTTCCATACTAATTCAAGAGGAGAAATAGAGGGAAGTTATGCCACATAGTCAGTTTGTGATGGAATCTGCATCTCTTAATGCAAGTACAAGAAACAACAATTTTAGGACCAATTACAACGCAAGTGGATACATACTTGAAATGCTGGAAACAATGAAAATAGAGGAGGATACACTTCGAACAAACCTCGCATGTTTTGTTACTACTGTAAGAAGCGAGGACATAGTAAGGATAAGTGTTTCAAACTCCATGGGTATCCTCAGAATTCAAGGTACCCAAGTTATGGTAACAACAATAAAGGAAAAAGAATTGCATCAAATGTATTTGGAGCACCAAATGATGGACCTAATGCTTCAGAAGTCGAAGGAGATCATCATGAAGAGGGAAGACTTATGCATCACCTGACTCAAGAGCAATATGGACAACTTCTCAACATTCTGGAAAAGCTCCAAGTAGGAAACAAAGGGGAGAAATCTGAAGACATGAAGCTGACTGGAGGAGCTGTGAACTTTGCAGGTACAATTGCTTGTTCTTCTTCTATTGAGCATGATAATTAATTGCATGAATGTTTTAATTCAAATGTTGATCATTGGATCCTTGATTCCAGGGCCACAAACCATATGACCTTCAATAAGAAATTACTAAGCAATGTCAAGACCTTAGTTTACCTCTACTTAGTTTCCTTACCTAATGGATACAAAGTGAAGGTGAGACTTATGGGGTGATGTGATCCTTAGTCCAAACTTCATTCTGAAAAAAGTACTTTATGTGCCTAGCTTAAAATTTAACTTGATTTCTGTTCATTCCCTAATTGTGCAACTAGATTGCATTGTTGTATTTACAAAATTCTCCTGTTTTCTTCTACAGGGCCCTTCACTGAAGAGGCCACTGGAGATTGGTGAAGTGAGGGACAGACTTTACTTTCATTGTACAAACTCATGTAAAACTAACTCAATTTTACCTCCTGCACTTGACACTACTTCTTTGATACACACCTCACACACAGCACCTTGTGCATCCACTTCCACGCACAATAGAAATAAAGTGCAGTCTATTGTAGGAAAGACTGTTTCAAACAATAATAATGAGTGTCCTGCTTCAAATGTTTCTTCTTATCCTTCCTTTGATGCTCATGAATCTTGTAATTCTGTTCGTGTTCCTAATACATCTACTTATGAGAAATGCAATGTAGACATCTTGTGGCATAATAGATTAGGCCATGTGCCTTTTATCAAAATGAGGGGCATCTCAGCCATCCTAACTACCTTTGTACAAAAAACAACCATTCTTCTGCCCTGTCTATCCAATGACCAAGCAGAGCAAATCTCCTTTCCCACAAAGTACCACAAAAACACTTAAAATCTTTGAATTATTACATGTAGATCTTTGGGGTCCCTATCACATTCCAACCCATGATGGCTACAAATATTTTATCATCCTTGTAGATGATTACAGTAGGTCCACATGGACACATCTTCTCACTTGCAAGAGCAATGCTTTACACATTATCAGAGCATTTGTTGCTATGGTAGAAAATCAATTTCAAACTACCATAAAAACAGTTAGGACAGACAATGGTCTGGAGTTTGTCAATGATGTCAGCACCATGTGTTTTCAAAGTAAAGGAATCATACACCAAAAGACTTGCCCTTATACTCCCCAACAAAATGGGATAGTAGAGAGAAAACACAAATATCTCCTTGAAACAGCTAGAGCATTGCTATACCAATCCAAGCTACCTTTGCAATATTGGGGAGAATGCATACTTACCTCTATCTACCTAATAAATAGATTGCCATCATCCTTTATAAAAAATAAGTGTCCATATGAACTACTCTACCAGAAAAAGCCACTTTATTCACATCTTAGGAGTTTTGGTTGCCTTTGCTTCCCAACTACTCTCAAAACACACAAGGACAAAACCTAGATCCTCTTCACATGTCTTCCTGGGATACCCTTTTGGCACAAAAGGTTACAAGGTGTTAAATCTTGTCACAAAAAGGATACACATTTCAAGAGATGTATTATTTCATGAAAGTATCTTTCCATTTAGTTTAAAATCAAGTTCTAGTGATCTGTTTCCCAATCTTGGTAGTTCTTCTTTTCCATTACCTCAAATGCATTTGAATGTAGAAAGTCATGCACCAACTGATTCCAGCACAAATAATTCTATTATATCTCCCACCACATCATCTCATAATCACAATATGGTGTCACCAACACTTGTATCAGGGAACCAAGACTCTGAACATGCCTAGGATACAAATGAGTATCATATCCCATCTCCACAGTTTCAAGACCAAAACAGCCCACTTAGTACTGCTAGCTCATCTGATTATGGCCAAAATACCCCAATCTTACCTCTAAAAAATACTAGACCATCCAGAACTCACAAATCGCCCACATACTTGAAAGATTATGTGTGTACACTGCCCAAACAACCTGTGAATGACTACCATGTGAATAGCTCACTTCAAGATGAACAAAACACTTCTTCCCTGTCCTTCAATACCTTTATTCCTGAAGTGCAATCTATTGACATTAGAGCCCTAGCCACTGATAGTCAACATTTGATAAAGAATGTTTCACGAGATTGTGAACGTGCCTCATATGAGGAAGTAGCTGCTGTGCCTGCATGGCAAGCAGCAATGACTCAAGAATTTAAGGCATTATACACCAATAACACATGAGATTTAGTGCCACTTCCAGCTGGAAAGAGGGCCATAGGGTGTAAATGGGTGTATAAGATAAAGCACAAGACAGATGGAAGTGTAGAGAGGTTCAAAGCTAGACTAGTAGTGAGGGTTATACTCAACATGCTGGAGTGGATTATATTGAAACCTTCTCACCTTTTGTGAAAATGGCAACAGTAAGGACTCTGATTGGGGTAGCAGTTAAGATGGGATGGGAAGTGTTTCAATTAGATATGAACAATGCCTTTCTTCATGGTGATCTACATGAAGAAGTATACATGGAGACACCAACAGGTCTTTTGTAGAACAGTTTGGAATGGTATGCAAGTTGAATAAATCCTTGTATGGCTTGAAACAAGCTAGTAGGCAATGGTATGCCAAGCTGACAGTAGCCATTTGTTCTAGAGGGTATACACATTCTATGTTTGATTACTCTTTGTTTTATAAAGGCAAAGGGAATTCAATAACCTTTGTAGCTATCTATGTGGATGGTGTTATTATCACAGGAGCTCACTTAGAAGAAATTACCAGCTTAAAGAAATTCCTCCATGAAACTTTCAGAATAAAGGATCTAGGGAGACTGCACTACTTTCTAGGATTGGAGATACTCTATAAGAGTGATGGAGTTCTAATTACATAGAGAAAGTTCACTCAGAACCTCCTAAAGGAATTTGACTGTATTGGATGTGCAACTGTGACTTCACCTCTTGACCCAACAATAAAGTTGAAAGCAGATAAAGGAACACCCCTTTCAGACCCTGTCCATTATAGGAAACTAGTTGGGAAACTGAATTTCCTTACAGGAACTAGGCCTGATATAGCCTATAGTGTTCAAAACTTAAGCCAATATATGGAGAATCCTAGAGACACTCGCCTAAGGGCAGCAGTACATGTATTGAGATACTTGAAAGGAAGCTTATCTCTGGGGATTTTCTTGTCTAACAGTAGAGACTACAGGGTAAGGGCCTTTTGTGACTCTGATTGGGCAGCTTGCCCTGAAACCAGGAAGTCAGTCAATGGTTACATAGTATTGCTTGGTGACAGTCCCATTAGTTGGAAATCCAAGAAGCAATCTACTATTTCATTGTCTTTGGCAGAAGCTGAGTATAGAGCAATAAGAAAAGTAGTTGGGAAATTAGTCTGGCTTGCAAGACTGCTTGAGGAACTAACAGTACCTCTATCTCTGCCTATACCTGTTTTCTATGATAGCCAAGCTGTACTTCACATTGCAAAGAACCCTGTCTTCCATGAGTAGACCAAGCACATAGAAGTGGATTGCCATTTTGTACGAGACAAGCTTCAAGATGGACTGATTTCACTATATTACATCCCTACTCATGAGCAACTTGCAGACATCTTTACTAAATCCTTGCCAGGAAACAAGCATACTCATCTACTTGGCAAGTTGGTTGTGGGTTCACCACCTCCAACTTGAAGGGGGGGGGGGTGTTGAGATTTTTTTGATAGATAGCCACATTTTAATTACTTTACATTTACATAGGCTATTCTTTGTATATGCCAATTTTATAATTAGTTGGGCTATCATTGTAATAAGTAGTTAGTGGAGTTAGTTGTATATGTATACAAGATATTGTACAGATATTTTGATGTAAGAAGAATTCACTTTCTCTTCTCCATCTACTTCTCGAAGCTTCTCAGTTAGGATGTCTTTCTTCTTCATCCATTAGAGCTCAATCTGAGCTTATCACCATAGTTGACCTTCAGTATTTTGTCAGCCTCAGATATGACTCTTGTGCAACCTAGTTAATTCTTGTTGCATATAAAAAAAACCTCTTCATTACATGAATTGTCTCTTACTCCATCTATATCAATTTTATGTGGGAGTGTTTGATTCAGCGTAGAAAGTTTAAGAAATAAAGAAAGACTTTCGTAACTTGTGGTATAAAGCAAATACATATTTGTGTGGTTAAATCCATTCATTAAGGGTAGTACAATATACCCAGCATAATCCCACATTGTGGAATTCGGCGACAGTAAAGTGTATGCAGATCTTATCCCTACCTTTTGGAGGTAGAGAGGCTATTTCCGAAAGACCATCGGCTAAAAAAAAAATAGTTTTCAGCAAGTTTGGACAGGAGAACAGTAATGAAGAAGTCATATTAAAAATACTAAAGATAAGAACATTAACGACACAAATAACAAAACAATAAGATTAAAAAAATAAGGGAACAACAAATAATAATGAAAATCGAAGAGTAAGAAAATACTAAAATGATAATACTAATACTTGTATGAAAAAAAAGGTGCAAACACGGAGTCCCAAACTTGATAGCGTACTAACCTTCTACCTAATTTTCGACATTCATACCTTCCTATCTAGGGTCATGTCCTCGATAAGCTGGAGACATGCCATGTCTTGTCTAATCACTTCTCCGCAATACTTCTTCAACCTACCTTTACCTCTCCTCCGACCCACAATATCCAACTTCTCCCGCCTCCTCACTAGGGCATCTGTGCATCTCCTCTTCACATGTCATGTACCATCTCAGCCTCGCTTTTCTCATCTGTTCGTCCATAAACTTTTTAAGATAAATTGTTTTTAAATAAGAAAATGTAGCATTCTTTTTGAAATTGACTGAAAAGAAAAGAATACTACATAAATTGAGACAGAGAGAGTATCGTTTTCGAGTTCTAGGACTGTGTTCATTGTATTTTCACTTCGACGGGCTATCCATAAGAGCCTCTAATGTTCCATTCTTCTTTTAGTTAAACGGTAATGCAGATAGGCCTCCTGTTTAACCAAAAATATATCTTTCGGTCAAAGTCTAATTTTAGAAGAAAACGAGCTTCTGATAACCAAGTTTTGCTTCACTTTCTCAAAAGAAAATAACAAGAATAACTAGAGAAATAATTAATTGCAAAGTCAAGCTAGGTAGAGAACTTCGAGAAAGCAGAAAAGTAAAGTTGGCATTCAAGCTTCTTTTGCTCAAGTTGAATCTTCTCCCGCTGCTGATGATGCCATATTGGATCCAACCCCTTAGTGTTCTTTCAGAACTTAGTTTGCTTTTTGAACTTTTGATAGGAAGAAGTTTTTTTTTACTTTTTGGAATGGTTGGTTAGTTTATACCCCTGGTCATTTTGGGGTTTGTTTATCAAACAAACATTTTTGTTTTAACTAAGTATATACTTAGTTTTAGCCAAGTTTAATATATGATCTTTCATTTAATTTGAGTTTTTGTTTAAACTCTTTGACTTGCATTTAAAAATGCTTCAATATTTCGTGATTTTAGCATTGACACGAATTTTATAAAAGAGGGCCCTTTTATAAACGACACTAATGAAGAAGACGTCTCAACTTCATATTAGTGCAAGTATATGAGAGAAGTAGGAAAATACATATTTTGAAGAAGTTTCATGAATAATTTGAGGAAGTTTCATGTCTTGAACTTTCAAATTATATAGCACTTTACAAGTATTAACTTTTTGTATGACATCTACAACTCTTTCACAACTATTTTTCTTATAACAGATTTCAAAAAATTCTAGGGTATATCTTGCAACCCATGACTAATCATTTCCCTTAACCTAAGTACTCGCAGGATCTTGTAATTTATGTCCACCAGTTTACACTTTATCAAAGCTTATTACAAAGGTTTTTGAATCAGACTTGTTTTTTTGGCTCTTGATTGACTCTTGACTTTTGATTTTTTGGTTGATCCAGGCTTGAATACTGACTTTTAGTCTTCTTTAGTCTTCTTTTACTTTCAGTCTTCTTTGCCTTCTATCTATAGTCCCCTAAGTGTTAGAGCTTTGAAGTATGAAATCTCGAGCACTTGATTATTCCTTCCATTTGGTCCATTTTTTATTTCCTGAAAAGGAAAATACATACAGGACTCGGAGGTATATATTTTTAGATGATGACTGCTTAACCCATTTTATTTCCATCAGAAAGGTTGTAACCTAGATCGGGAATAATTTTGAATCCCACGTGTCTTACAGGTCTAATATCATCATTTGGTGTGGGCTAGATTTGTGCTTATCATCTAAAATGGTTAGTATAATTAAAAAAGAATAAAACTAAACCATACACGAATGATACCTGACCGGGGGTTCTTTCTTTGCTTAGAAGTAATACTTCTTTAAATGAAAAACATCCCAATTCGATGGGAGTACTTTGCCTTCCATTGTTTCTAACTCATATGCACCCTTTTCAGCAATGCCTCGAATCCTGTAGGGTCCTTCCCAATTTGGACTCAACTTTCCTGTATTGGCCGTTTTTGTCGATTGAAAAACTTTTTTGAGGACGAAGTCCCCAATCTTGAAGCTAAGATGAGCTTTCCGATTGTAATATCGCTCAATAATTTATTTCTGCGCTGCCACCCTTATTAGAGCCGCTTCTCTCCTTTCTTCAAGCAAATCTAGATTTATTCGCATCTCTTCCTCATTTGACTCTTCTGTCGCTTGGGTATATCTTGTACTTGGTTCACCTATTTCAAATAGAATTTAGGCTTCAGCACCATACACAAGTGAGAATGGTGTCTCTCCCGTACCTATTTTTTGCTGTCGTTCGATAAGCCCATTGGACTACTAGTAACACTTCTGGCCACTTACCTTTTGACTCCTCTAATCTTTTCTTCATGTTATTAATAATAACTTTGTTTGTCGATTCAGCTTGTCCATTATCCACATGATGGTAAGGTGTTGAATTTATCCTTTTAATCTGCCAACTCTGAAAGAATTCTGTAATTCTCGCACCTATGAAATGCGGGCCATTATCACATACGATTTCTTTTGGAACTACGAACCGGTATATGATGTTTTACCATATAAATTCCCTGAATTTTTTCTCCCGCACCTGTTTGAAGGCACCTGCTTCTACCCACTTGGTAAAAATAATTTGTTAATACTAATAAAAATTGTACCTTCCCTTTGGCTTGTGGTAATGGGCCTACGATATCCATTTCATAAAAGGCCATGGTGAAAGAATTGGATGTAATAGCTGCTGGGCGATGCATTTTGTTGCCATATCGTTGGCATTTGTCACACTTGGCCACAAAACTTTCCGCATCTTCTTCCATTTTTGGCCAATAATACCCTGCTCTAATCAGAGTTTTCACTAAGGATCTTCCTCCTGCATGATTTCCACAGTGTCCCTCATGTACTTCTCTCATCACATACTCTGTTTGAGAAGGTCCGAGACATCTTTCTAAAGGCCCTCCAAACATCTTTCGATACAGGTTGCCACGAACCAAACACTAACGGGCAGCTTTTCGTCAAAGTGACCAAGCCTTTTTCTTATCTTCAGGTAAAATCCCGTACTGCAAGAAATTAAAGAACTCGTTTCTTCAATCCCAAGTTAAGTTATTGAAATTTGCCTCATTTTTATCCTGATCGAGTGCCGAATGAAACAAATGTATTACGATATCATTTTCTTCATTTGTTACTTCTACAACGGATGCATGATTAGCCGACGCGTCTGCTTCCGCATTTTCCTCCCTGGGTATTTGCATGATTTTCCAGGATTGGAACTGTCTGATTAATTCTTGTGCCTTTTCCAAATATGCTGCATCCTCGCCTCTCTAGCTATATAAGTTCCCTGCATTTGATTAACTACAAGCTTCATATTCCGAGTTCTCGTGCCAATTCTAGACCTGCAATTACAACTTCATATTCTGCTTTATTGTTAGTAATGGGATGACACTTTATTTCCTGCCTTATGGTTTCTCCTGAAGGTGGGATTAGAACAATGCCTAAACCCACTCCTTTAACATTCGAGGAGCCATCAGTAAATAGGGTCCATGTACCCGGATTAGATCTGGTGAATACCTGTAGTTCCTTTTTTGCTTTAGGAACTATCCCTGGGCTGAAGTCCGCCACAAAATCTGCTAAAACCTGTAATTTTATCGCAGTTCTAGGTCGGTACATGATATCATATTCACTAAGTTCTATAGCCCATTTGGCTAACCTACCTGACAGTTCTTTCTTATGCAATATATTTCTTAAGGGGTAAGCGGTCACTACAGAGATAAGGTGACATTGAAAATAAGGCCTCAACTTTCTAGATGCCATAATTAGTGCTAAATCAAGTTTTTCTAAGTGAGGATATTGAGTTTCAGCATCCAATAAAGATTTGCTAATATAATAGATTGGAGATTGTTTACCTTTGTCTTCACGTACTAACACTTCACTTACCGCCAATTCTGATACAGCGAGATAGATGAGTAGCCTTTCTCCATCCTTCGGTTTAGCCAGCAACGGTGGGTTTGACAAGTTTGCTTTTAGATTTTTGAGTAC